ATCCCATGCCTGCTAGCCCATCCCACTCCCTCTCCCACGATTCTATCCACAGGGTATAACAGATCAAGGAAAAAACCCAGGTCTCCTGGATTTCTGTTTTATTGGCTGTCACAAATATTGTGAGTGTCTCACAATGTTGATCATCCTCTCATAGTCTACTTCTCTGTCTACCAAAATGCCTACTTATTTTCTATATTTATATCCAGGTTTATTGCTCTTCTTTCCCAATTTGATCAAGCTAAGGCACTTAAGAGTCACAGGTTTTAGCCATGCCTACGTAAGTAAAGACAGACATACCTGATCAAATCTGGTAGCAAAGAGATTGAGTGACGTCACTATGCCACCATTGGGCCCAAGTCCATATCTAGACACTAAGTTGAGGATTTAAATTGCTTATAAATCAATTTAAATGATAAAGTTCATACATAGGATATCACTCACATAAACAGCATTATAACATTAGTGTTCCATTAATGGATATTGGCAAGCTTATCCTTGACTAACATGTACCACACAACCTTAACCTCATAGGGAAACATTCATTATCAAGGTCTTCCTCGTTCATTTATCAATTTAGGGATGGCCAGGAAAAATGAAGAAACTAAAGTGACCACAATGTAATAGACAGATGCATCAGGCAGTGACAGCCTGCTGGCATTAGCCGTTAAGATCATCTACATAACAGTCCTTGCTGTGATCCTCATGGATCAAGCAAACTACTGATTATAATTAGTATTCCTACCCAGAGTTACTTACAGGGAAAGTACACATTTCACACAGCAATGCAACACGGGTTCATCCTACTAAACCTACTCACTTCTGAGTTTCCCAGTCTGAAGAGGTGGTGACCAACGGATGTATCCTCCAAGGCAATACTACCTTGTGGGATCAAGACACGCTATCAGCTTGCCTCTCTTTCTCTGTGCTCTCTAATTACAACAGCCTGCAGTCCGGGAAGATGGTAAGAAAACTGAAATCATAAGCTGAAATGGTATTTCTAATCACCTACAATACTTCTCCCCCATCCATCTTCCATCCTGTTAATAAAATTACCTTAAAGCAATCAAATGCTTTTGCTTGTATATTTCACAAGGAAACACAAAAATATTCTTTCAGAGCCATAAAATACACAGACAGTAACTAGCCAAGGATGAGTCAACACTGAAGTAGACGTGGAAAAGGATACTGTTTCATGACTTCTTTATACTTCACAGTGTCACGAATATCTGGGGGGAGAAAAGTTAACTGGAATTTAACACATGAAAAACAATACAGTTTGAGACCCTACACCTATAATATCCTCAGCCAACAGGCCTCTCAAGTCATCTCTGCTTCCTCTAAGGAAAAAAAATAAGTTTCTCCCTTGGCATCTGAGTCACTTTTAAAACTTTTTCCTAAATTTTGAAGCTAAGATCATTGAACTGTGATAGCAAAAGAAGCAAGATTGTGAGAAGAAAAGAAGGGTAAAAGGTGCCCTATAAGGACTTTCCCTACCAGCAAGAAACTGAAACTAGCCCTTTAGGCTTATCTTGTCAGCATTCTCTTCTACTGATTTCTCCAGCTTCATACTAGTTACCTTTCTTAAAAGGACAATGCCAAGTAACCCAGGAAGAATGTTAGGTTAGGAGCTCTCAAGCTATGGCAGAGATAGTCTGAGACAAGGAGAAAAGCTTTATACAACTTAAATACCTTATCAGTGACCACTCGCATGGAATAAGAGAGCTAAGTCAAGAAAAAGGGTTTATTTCTTACTAATCACATACTGGTGACAAAGGTAATGCAGACATTATTTTTAAAAAACAACTAATCTGTCCAGTAACATCAAACTAAACCTATCTACCAGTCTGTAGACCTACCCCATAAAGTATTAGAATTCCATCCTTTAAGTGAGAAATGGGCAATTTTTTCTCAAACTCTTCCCAAAATGACCTCTGCTTCTTAATACAAAGTCTTCCTTTATTAGTATGTTTAGGGTGCAAGCAGCTTAACAGGATTAAGAAGAGACAAGGAGGGAGATGATCAGCATATAGTGATAGCCTGGAAATCAGGAAGCCCAGATCCTATTAAGAATCATGACACTGGGGCCGGCCTGGTGGCTTAGCGGTTAAGTGCGCGCGCTCCGCTGCTGGTGGCCCGGGTTTGGATCCCGGGCGCACACCGAGGCACTGCTTCTCTGGCCATGCTGAGGCCGTGTCCCACATACAGCAACTAGAAGGATGTGCAGCTATGACATACAACTATCTACTGGGGCTTTAGTGGAAAAATAAATAAATAAATAAATAAATAAATAAATAAATAAATAAATAAAAAAAATTATTTTAAAAAAAAGAATCATGACACTGGATCACAACCATTCTAATCCTTTTTTATAGTCACAGATTCCTTTTAAAGTCTGATGATAACTGGGAACCTCTCTCCAAAACAATGCATATTTGGATATACACATACATTTTCCCATGTAACTTTGGGAGCAGAAGCAAGGTTCCTACAGATCAATACATGAACTACAAGAACCCTTACACTATAATTAAACTTTAAGAAAAGAAATTAAATAAAAAAGGTTTACATATCAGAGCCTGCTGAAGGGTTTATGGCCTAGAAGTGAGAGGACTGACTTTCTATCACTTCATTTTCCCAAACAACAATAGCCTGACACCCTAGTGTCAAAAAGAGGGAAGAGATAAAGGTGAATGGTAAGGAAACAAATTTAGCAAAGAAGAGAGAGTAAACAAAGAGAAAATGTGAATAAGGGAGAAGCCGGTTTATGGATTCTAGCAAATCCACGGGAAGTGAAAGTAAATAGTTCAGAAAAAAATGAAAGCATTGACGACTGGCAGGCTGGAGGCTTTCCATTCTGTGAGGCACCACACAAAGTTCTATACAGTTTACTCACCAATATTGGCAGGAAAGGGAACTTCATGCACAGCTGGGTCCAGGTTGATCACATAAGGTGGAGAGCCTTGGCTATGCAGGTGTCCTGTGAGCCTCTATAGAGATATGGGGAGAGTGATGGAGTAACACAAAGAGGGCATGATAAGGGAACAAGAGAGAACTTACATTCTTTTATGGCCCACAAAGACTTTTGCACTTACATTTCCCTCTACCTGAAATATTCGCTCCTGATGTCCACCTCCAATACTCAACTCTCAGTTGACATGTTACCTTTATTTATCACCCATCTAACAGAGCCTCCCCGACTCTCGATCACTTATTATTTTGTGGGTTTTTTTTTTTTTCCTATCTCTCCCACTAAAACGTTAGCTCTAAGCGGAACCTTGTCAATCTCATTTTCGCTGTATCCCCAGTCCCTGGAACATGGTAGGCGCGCAAAAAATAATTCTTTAGCCAATCTACACCAGAAGCCTATGTGCTAGCACTGTATTAATCGTCAGAGTTACTTGCAAGCCTCTGCCTTTGAGGAGTTGGCAACTTTATCGGTAAGACAATTCCAGTACAACGTGGTAAGCTGTACTAAGTATGCACTGAGGGTACGCGGAAGAGAGCCTTAATTCACCCAGGCTAGAGTCTGAGAAGGCTTCGCCGAGGAAGGAACTGGAGTTGCTGGCAAGTCCCCGAAAGCCACGCGCTGGTAACCTCCAACTCCACAGAAAGACCTCCCTTTCTCCCTGACCTTCCGCCCGCCACAGATAACCTCTCGTGCGCCCATACTACGCCCGCGCCGTGTAGGTCACCTGTACAAAGGTGGTTTTCCCAGATCCCGCCATTCCCAACACCAGGAGACACACTGGGGGCTGAGGACCCCCGCGAGCCTCCGGCTCAGCAGCAGCTACGGGCGCCGCCATCTTTCTCCTGGCTCCGCCCACGTTACCATAGAGACGCCCGTGGCTAGAGAGACTTCCGCGACACTCGCGGTTGAGAGGGATGGAACCGGACTGTCCCGATAGGGAAGGACGACGGGGTGGAGTTGACGCCAGAGCCACTCATGTTCCGGCTTGGGGGCCAACTAGTGACAATGGCGGGGAAGTGGAGACGCTGGGAGGAATGCTGCAGGGGGATAGAAAAAGAGGAGCTCACGGTCGTAGGGTACGGCTTGGGAAGGGCCAAGCTTCCGTCCCTAGGAGAGCGAAAGCAGGTGGGATCCCGAGGGCAGGGCTCCCACAGTACGAAAAAGAAGAGCGTGCGTTTCTCTTTGGGCCCCCAAGGAGCGGGGAACGGAGCCTCCAGAGAAGCGGCTGCTAGGGCTTATTCGGCAGCCGCGGAGGTTAAGCCGCTCAGGGCTGGGCCGGCCCAGACTGAGGCGACGTGCGACCCCATGGGTTGCTGGGCAGCGCTGAGACCCATTGAGCACAGAATGGAGAAACTGCTAAAACGTGCCCCCCGGGTCGCCGTTTTCACGTGTCGCAGGCCCCTGACACTAGCGCTAACTCCTTGGCAGTCACGGTCAGTGAACTACACCATGACCTTGGGGATGAACGCTCGGATTCCTGGCCCAAGTAGGTACTGAAGGGACGCTCCCCTCCAAGGCAGCGCCCTCGGAAACCCGCAAGGTGGTGAAAGAGCGGAGAAACTTATTCCTACTGGCGACCGCCCAGTCTGTTCCTGTGGCCCTTTGTAGCTTCTGTAGTGTTCAGTAAGTCATAAGATCTGGTGTCACACCCAGGCTCTGCCACTTGCTAGTGGTGTAAATCGTGGCGAAGTCACTTCAATTCTCTGAACCTATTTTCTCCTCTTTAAAATTGAAATAATACTTAACAGGGTTGTAGTGAATGCATATTGTAAATTGTAAACTGCACTCCCTCATCGTTGCCCCTAGTTGTTTACCTTGCCTTGCACACTGTCAGGAATATAATAAAGGCGCTCAAAAATATTTTCTTGTATGCATTAAAGTACAATTGGGCATTTTTTATTGTTTCCTAAAATTCCGTTCAGAACTGATGGGGGAACGTTGCTCTTGTTCTTCCTTCAGGTTTGCTGAGGACTCTAGTAGTTCCCCTCCACCGTATCTTAATTTAATAAATAATTTGGTCAAGCCAGAGAAGCTAACAGAGGCAGAAATGAGGTTTAAAGAAAAGATAGTGGTGGAAACTATGAAGCTGAACAAGCAAATAAAACAAGCTCAAATGGAACGAGAACGGCTGAAGGAGGAAACCAGGCAGCTACACGCTGAAAAGTTACTTGTCCAGGCTGAAAACAAATTCTTTCTGGAATACGTGACCAACAAAACTGAGGAGTATAGAAGGCAACCTGAGGAACTGTGGAACAACTATTTACAAGAAAGTGGCGAGATTGAACGAAGGAGGCAAGAATCAGCCTCCAAATATGCAAAACAAACTTCAGTGCTTAAAACAGAGCTCTTGGAGAAGGAAAAGATCCATTCCAATTTGAAGCAGCAGTTGCAAGCATTGAGGGACATTTCAGTATTAAAGGAGAAACAGGAGAGGGAAATGCAGACATTACAAGCGGAGACAGCTGCAAAGAAACAGGAAATCCATGTCCAGTTCCTCCAGCAAAAAGCATTACTGGAGAAACAACTGACTGAGCCAGACATGAGTCAACTGGGAAAGAGAAGAAGAAAGGAGCTTAACAGGAAGACCCAGCCCTTGGAGTTGGCAGCAAAGCAGTATAATTTTGAGTTCTACCGTGACATCAACAGAGAGAACCAGCAGTTGAAGGAACTACTGCAGTTAAATCAGCAATGCCAGGAGTTGCAGGCCACACCAAGCCAGTTAAAAAATCAGAAGCAGCAGCTGCAGCAGGAGCAGTGGTATGTGGAGTGCTTAATGCCGGGGAGGCGACGACTGCAAGGCAGGCACAATGGTGCCCAAAAGGACAGGGTGCTCCAAAGACCACACCGACCCCTCCCCTAGGCACGAAATCAAGGATTAATCCAAAGTAATTCCTAAAATAACACTGATTCAGTAAGGACCAGAGCAGGTATTCTTAGGTGCCACATAAACCTGGTTAGGAAGACTTTTGGATCTCAGCTTGCTATGGCAAAATATCCATCGTGATGTGTTAGTGTGAAGAATTAGGTGCTTTTTTCCAGCAGTACTAGATATTTGTGTGACTGGCTACCCTTAACTAGGTTTTTCTTTAATTAGCTCTTGTTAATAAACAGGATGTTCCTCAAACCTCCAGATAACCTAATACCATATGCCAAATATCTGTACATTAAACTAGCTCAAGAAAGCCACCTTGAGGAAGTGAAAGGAAAACAGTTGGGTGATTTATTTCATCTAGCTAAGTTAGATCTCTTTATAGAAAAAGCACCATTAAGGGTAGCATTTCAGATTGACTATGTACTGCTTCCTGCTCTGTAAACAACCAATATCAGTTTATCCTCATTCCTTTAGGCCAACTCAGCACATAAAGGCAAAGTGTTTTTAAGTTTTTTTTAAAGTTTGTGCCAGTGACCAGGTAGCTCCTTCTGTAGTTTTCTCATGAGTGAAAAAGTACTCTAATAACAGCAAGTTCAAAAAGCACTGGGCAGGATGACCTTTTGTCTGAAGCAGCCCCTAAAATTTTACCTCTGAGTAAATTGGGAAACAAAGATAAAGGGAACGTATATTAGGTCAACTCTCACTTTTGAAAATGTTTTCTGTAAAGAAATATTTCCAGTATTAATGAAGTGACTGAATAGCTCTGTTTCAGGAAATTGTATCAAAAGAAAATTTAAAATTATTTTTTTAAAGAGTTTTGTGCCATCTATTTCCCTAGCAACATCCTGAATTCTAAGACGACAAGATTATTTAATGTTAAATATAGCAAGTACTTTAGTTTTAGGTCACTTACTACATTTTCTTACTATATGTGCACTTAATAGTACACGAAATGCCTTTTGTAATTAATATATGCCATATGTCTTTTTGTGTGCGTGTGTGTGTGTGTGTGTGAGGAAGATCAGCCTTGAGCTAATATCCAATGCCAATCCTCCTCTTTTTGCTGAGGAAGATTGGCCCTGAGCTAACATCCGTGCCCATCTTCCTCTACTATATATGGGATGCCGCCACAGCATGGCTTGACAAGCAGTGCATCGGTGCACGCCCGGGATCCGAACCCGCAAACCCCGGGCCTTGGAAGCGGAGCGCGCGCACATAACCGCTACACCACTGGGCAGGCCCTATTTACATCTATTTAATACAACTAGGAATAGTATTTTAAATTAGTATAGATTTTTAGGGTAGTAATATTTTTTGCACTTATGACATATGGTTAGATCAGTGATTTATTTGAATGCTGAATCCTAATACAGGAATATAACCCCATATTTTAACATTGCTCCTCTATGGGGAAAATATAATCAACTTTATGTTTTCCAGAAATTATTAGTGATGAAAAACTTCAAAATAATTTTCCTGAATTTTCAGTTTTATCCATATGTAAAATGAATTCCTTTAAAATTGGATTAAAAAAAGGATTCTCCTTCAACATCCCTTTAACTTCTAGCTTGAACAATTTTTCTGTTCAATGTGTAGTTTCTTTGTTATTAAGCAAACTTTTTGTTATTAAAAATAAAAAGTTTAGATTATAATTTATCCACTGATTTTATTATTGTTCCAGTGTATTTTCTACTTCATCTCTCTTCTCCCTTGTTACTGCTTCTGCATGTCTTGTTCATACTAGCGTGCCCATAATAAAACTGCAGTTTTAATGCAGAAGGTAGAACTTTAGATAGCATGCAGGTACCTTAACCTGAACACTTCAATTCATGAGCTGAAAATACAGAAAGACTGAACTTGTAAAACATGGTATCCAAGACAAATTTGAAGCCCTATTCTCTGTGGATGCAAAAAACCGTAGGAAAATACATACTTAAGGCTGATAGAGTTGGAAAGTAAGAAGGATCAAGAATCTTATTACTCTGTTAATTCCCCTCCTGCCATTGCTGTCCCAATTATCTAATTCAGGAGTGGATAACTTCCATCTTGTCTCAGTGTATTTTTAATTCCTATCATCTTAGATAATGGATCTGGTGTACTGCTTGTGGCTTCCCTTTCAGAGTGAGGCCTCCGGGGGCTTTAAGACTTTAAAGGGTGAATCTGCTAAAGGTACTTTGAAATCCATACCTGCAAGTGAGCAGTAGGTTGGCCAACTGAGATCTCAGTCTACTTTTTGTCTGCTTTGCTATGAAGAGAATTAAACAGGGTGATGTTATAGAAAGTGCATTTAGATGGGAAAAGACCTCTGAGGTGAAATTTAGGTTAAGACCTAAATGATAAAATGAAGCCTACAGTGCAAAAACTAGATAAGAAACTATTCCACGCAGAGGGAACAGTGAATGCAAAGGCCCTCAGACAGGAATGAACTTGGTAGGTTCAAGGAACAGCAAGGTCAATGTGGCTCAAGTGTAGCTGGGGAACGGTCAGAGAACATGGGTGAAGCAGAGGAAGACGAGGCTAAACAGGTTAGCAGTAGGAGCACAGAGGGCCTTGTAGGACAAGGTAAGGGGAGTGACTTTTATTCTAAGTACACTGGGAAACCATTAGGCTTTCAGCAGGTAAATGAGGTCTGATTTACAATTTTAAAAATTCACTACAGCTGTTATGTGGAGTCTATCCAGACCAATAAAAAGCAGAAACAAACCAATTAGGAAGCTGTTGTACTCTAGGCAAGAGGTGATGGTGGTTTGGACTGGGATGGTAGAAACAGAAGTGAAGAGATGACACGGGGGAGAGCAGACTATAGGGTGAAGGGAAAATCACATTAAGATGAAGCAGAAATAAAATTTCTCAAGTGTTCCCTTTTAAGAAGGAGGTGAGCAAAATATATTTTTCTTTTTTGTTTGTGTAAATTGCTTTTTAAAATGAAATATTTCAGACATACAAAAAACACAGAAAACTATAACAAACTCACTATCCACCTTAAGAAATAAGAACTTACAAATTCCCTTGTAGTCCCTCTGGATCCCAGAAGCACTATCCTAAATTTGGTGTTTATCATTCCTGTGCCTGTTTTCATGCTATTTTTAAATATATTAAATTATAAAATATTTATATTTATATACATAGACAATAAGAGCATTGTTTTTGTATGTTTCTAAACCTTATATAAATGGTACACTTGATGTATTCTGTAACTTGCTTTTCCCAGACATTACTTTTGAGATGTATTCATGATGATACATACAAGAAGCCCTAGTTAATTTTATAGCTGTATATTGTTCCACTATATGACTATATCACAGTGTATCCATTCTCCTGATGATGGACAATTAGGTTATGTGTTAGAGTAGACTAACAAAGAGACCCACGAATGTATAAGGTCTCAAATAACATTTATTTCTTGCTCATATAATAGTCTCAGATAGATGTTCCTGGTTGGCAAGCAGTCCTTCATAGGGTGATTCAGGGAATCAGCTATCTTCCACTGTGTGTTCTACCATTCCCTAGAGCTGCCTCATCATCTGCATCTAGCCCTAGGAAGGGGAAAGAAAGCATGGAGGTACCTGGAAGTGACATACATCACTTCCACTCACATTCCACTGGAGAGAAATTAGTTGGCTACTCCTTCACTATAGGGGAAGAGGGTGGAGGGCTGGGAAATGTAGTCTAGCCATCTGTCCTGTAATCCTATAGCTTTGCAAGGTGAGAGCAGATGTTGGTGGACAGCTAGTAGTCTCTGCTACACGTTGTTTCCAGTATCTCTCTATTGTAAAAGTAATGCAATAATCATTCTTGTTTTTGTCTCCTGGTACACCTTGACAAGGAGTTTCTCTGTGTATACCTAGGAATGAAACTGCTGAGTCTTAAGACATATCTTCAACTTTACTAGATACTGCCAAATCACTTTCAAAGTGACTGTACCAACTTACATTCAAAACCGTGCATGAACATTCACATTGCTCCACAACCTACCTATACTTGATATTGTCAAACTTAAGTTTATGTTATTCTAATGAAAAAAAAAAAAAAACTTAAAAACTCAACAGTATGATTAGGATAGTCTATACTAAGTCTTGCTGATCCCTGGCCTCAGGAAGGATAAATAGAAGGAGTGCCTACAATGGCCCTGGATGAGACTGGACAAGTTTCCTATACTAATTCACTTTAATCTCAAATTATTCATTTTACCCAGCAGATCTCAGAAGCTACAGAACTACTGAGACAAATGCATTTGGTACTTATTTCAAACTCATTCCCATCTCTGTCCATCTTCTTACCCCCATACACTGTGTCAGCAGAGTCAAGTAACAGGTCGGAGTCAATGAACAACTGGAAACATCATTCTAACCGAGAGTCATTTATTTCTTTTGTCATTGCCAAACATTCCCCAAAATCTTACTCACCAGAAATTAACATAGCTTCTTCATTTCTCCTCCCTGACAATCCTCATCTACTGAAAGGGCTTTAAGGGCACAACTGCCAATGAAAATGTAGAGTGGATATACCACATCCTTCACTTGTTTCAAAACTACCTATTCTAGCAGTATCCAAATCAGGTTTCAATGCTCCCTTGTCTGAAAGTGGTCTTCACAAAAGCCCACATTTTAAAGCTATACAGAGGAGCACTGAGAACAGAGTTAAAGAGTGGTAACAGCCTTTCAGAATTTGAAAAGGTAGTACTTGTCCATATCAGGGTTAAGGGTCCCTTGCTTTTTATGTGGCATATGTCACAAAAATTGGCAAGAATATGTAAGACCAATATTTATGGAAAAGGGGAAGAGAATCTAGAAACACGACAACAGAGCTGCTCTAACCAATGCTCCAGAGAAAGCCAGCTTCAAATAGAAATAGCCCATTAGACATTATCAGGTAGGCATGAGGTACAGAAAAAGAAATTTTCTTTCCAACTCCAGATAAATATCTACATCTGGTGTCAAAGTCTCAGGATATAAAGAGGATAGAACTCCATATATAAAAGACGATGGAGGACAATATTCTCAGAAAATTCAAAGAGACAGAGGTTGGCTAAAGGGAGGGATGAGGACTTAGCAGAGTGTAGAGTAACAAGTGAGGTCAAGTCCAAGGGAGGAATGTGCACCTTGGCTACCAATCTTAGTGGCATTACCAAGAACACAAGGATTTTGTGCCAAAACATCAGGGGCAATGTGATATTTCTCAACCCTTAATACTGAAAGAGCAAAACAAGCTTCAGGAGGGCACTGATCACAGCAACAGATGAGGCCTCAAGCCCCAAGAAAGTTGAGGCACTATCTATCGCTTCTTCTGCTTTCTTCATTCCAGTCATTTTCATGTTTGGGACACATTGCTCCTAAGGCTGCTTTTCATGCCTGTGGGTCTTGTTAATCACTGCTACTTGGGACAAACAAAGCATTTCCCAGTAAAACCAGTGTAGGGATGTTCTAGCTTTTTCATTCTAAGTCCATTTTCTTACTTTCAATCCTAAAACCATATTGAGAGAACAAACAGCCGCCATAAAGTTTGTTTCCCAAGGAGACAGGGTAACCTTATTACATGAGTGACAACAGTACTAGCTTCTAGGCTTGTTATATCACAAATACAAAATGATAAATCAGCATGGTTTTAAAAAATTAGTTTGGAATTGTTTTATAAGCTAGATGATGGAGTTGACTACTAAATCAATGGAGCTTCCAAGAAGATTCTACACCCCAGGAAGGAAAGGACAACCAAATAGGTTTCTTAGTCTTGTACAGGGCAAGAGGGGCCTATAGTTGGCCTTAAGAGGGAGCTCTTTGGGCAAGATAAGAGAAAAACAAGAGGACTCCAATAAGGAATAGCAGGAAAACCTACCAAAACAGAGGGCAGGGGAGTGAAAGTGAATTAGGAAGGAAAACAGTGAAATTTACACAGGAGGAAGGAGCTGAGAAAGTCACAGCCTTACACAACAAACAGCTGAAAGAGTAAATTTCTCTTCACTCAGCAC